TCCCCTCACCCACTCCCTGAGCATCACTGCACCTGGGCAGGAACAGACAATGCTCTGCCATCACCTCTGGCCAAGGAAGTCCTTGCTCTGCACAAGAGGCTGAACCTCCCAAGAGGCTGCAGCTGGGAGTCGTTGCCTGACACAGTTCCCACCTTTCTCCTCAAAATCACTACTCAGCACTTGCCCACTATGGGAATGTAACTGCTGAGAGACGCTCCAGAATAATCTGTGCTTAAAACGCATCTGGGAAGCTCCTGCCCGGGTCCCTGCCAAGCACATACCCTGTTTCCTGGCTTGAGGGATCCACATGTTCAGGTAGAGACAGTCCTCTATCCCATTGACATCAGTCTGGGTGAGCGTCATCTGCATGCACCGATCCTTGAATGATTTTGCCTTCAGTGTTCCTGAGAGGAGAGAGGGAAGATAGCATGTCCTAGTTAGGGGCATCAATTCCATCCACTGTTTACAGTCTGTCTGTCCACCCATCCTTTGCTCTCTGAGTCCAGTGCAGAGGCAGAAAAGCCTCCCCAGCCACTATGACCTGTCTGAGTGGCAAAGTGGGACCCTTTCGCATGTGAACTAGACTGAAGTAAGAGAAGGAAAAATAAAATCCCAAACCAAAGGCATTCAAAGGTTGGATCTTACCATCCCAGCCAGGATGAGGTTCAGGGTCTTGCAGAATCTTTGGAGGGGCAGCAAAGGGAATCCCTTTGAAGATGTCGACGTAGCTCCCAAACAGTCCCAGTTTCTTACTCTCGCCTTCCACAAAACCGCCCTCGGTGTACACCACACCCAGCTACAGGGGATACCATGGAGAAGAGACAATCTGTTGCTCAGTTCCTCATGCCTCTGGCTTCCCATGCCACCAGCACCCACACCTTGCCCTGGCCAGTCCCACACACAGACCCACTCACAGCCTGCCCTCCCCATCCGTGCCCTTGGACCCCTGTGGGAAACCCACAGGGAGGTGCCACTGGAGCTGCGACCATGCAGGTGTCCTGCAGGTGCCCTTTGGAGCAGACAGGCAGCAGCAATTCCTACACACTCCCAAAGATAAATGGCAGAAGGAGAGGACCTTCAGCCCTAGGGTGTAAACCTGGCCAGACCTGACACAGAACTGTGCAGGAACTCTTGCAAAAATGTCCCTGAGAGCCTCTGCCGTGTTGAGGGCAGGAAAACACTGTGCCCCAGCTGCCAGGCCTGCAGGCCCTCTGTCAGGGATCCAGATCGGGTGTAACAGGGCAGGAACTCAGGTAGGAAGAGGTGAAATATGTTGCCAAGCCCTGAGAAGTGCTTTTGTACTTACGGTCGCAGCCCAGGTCACCCCAAGGGAGGAGCACAAGGCCAAGCACAGGATCCCCCAGCGAGCCATGGTGAGGGCACACCTGAGGAGACAGTGCCCAGCTGGAAAGCTGGTATATATATAGTGAGGGGGCAGGTGTGTGTCAATGTCATGGGTCAGCCTTGGCTCTGAGGTGAACCAGGGGAGCCTCCACACACTTGTCCTTGAGTAACCTGAGGCCAGTCCCTGGCTGAGGTAGAACTGGCATTGCCGTGTGAGAGCCCTGCAGGTGCTGCTTTTGTGGGCTGGAGGCCAAACCTCCTCAGGTACCTTTTCTGTTTTCCACATGGCCATCATCATGGTCAAACTACCCACACACAGAGAGGCTTGAGAATGGAACTTCTCCTCTCTTCTTCTTCCTCTTCTTCTTCTTCTCTGGTGTATTACCAGCTGGTTTGGATTCTGGCCTCGCTCTTGTGAGGTTGTTGAGCTTGCTAGAGGGCTCATTAGCCAGTAATTATGAAAATGTAGAGACCTGTTTATTCACAGGATTGTTGCATGCTTCCTTCCAGGTCTGTACAGCAGCATCCAGTGGTCCAGTCGGGATTTCTCCATCATCAAAGTTCACAAAGATGGCATTGTGTGGGCAACGGGCCCTGCTGAGGCCAATCAGGTTCTCAGCAGACACCTGGGGGTTGTCGTATCCCTCCCTAAGGAGCAGCAAAAGGATCAGATTTGCCTTCTGCCAATGGCACACATGGATTTAGGGAAGGGACTCAGCTGAGTGGCCAATGGGTTGGTTTAACTTTGGCCCAACCTCTGTATCAACAGGCAAAGCAAGAGGGAAATGCAGTTATGTTTTTTTTTCCCCTTTAAAAGGTGAAGATGAAGGACAACAGTGAGAAAATGAAAGATGTTTCTTGTGGGAGATCTCCCAGATTGTTCCTCTGGCAAAACCAATTGGAGCTGGCAGGGCACAGGTTGGCTGAGTGCGGGCACAGGAACATGTGGCATCGACTCGTGGCAGAAAGCTGGGCTTGTTGCACCCCACACTGTGTGATGTGTGCTGGGAGAGGCAGTCCAGGCAGTCATCTTCACCACATCACCAGGGCCCCTCACCTGGCAAATCCTCTGTTGTGCCAAATCAAGAAGGATAAAACAGAAGAAGGCAGCAGCTCAAACAGGTGAAGGCCTCCATCCCATCTCCTGCCCATGCAACCAATCTTCCCTCCATCCCTGAGCTCCAAATTTCCCGTGGGTATCCAGCCAGGGTTTTCAGAACATCTCCAGCACAGCTGAGCCTGCGTCCCCCCTGCCATGGAGTCCTTAAGTCAGGGTTGGTGGCACCTCTGTGCGTGTGTTTGTGTGTTGGAGTTACAGCCGCTGCTGTGCCTGCTACTCATCACAGCAGAGTGGGAACTGGGTGTGTTCATCCTGTCAGAGCTCTGGGGTGGGGTAGAAACAGAACCAGCCCCAAATACTTAGGAGCCTTGAGGCAGCCTCCCTCCACAAAGCCGTAAGCCTGGCTTAGATATTTTGATTAATAATAAAAGAACTGTATATTCACTGTTTTCAGCCTGTAGGGTGCAGCAGTACCACATTTTAATGGGATCACAGAATACTAGGTTGTAAGTGATCTCAAGGGTCATCTGGTCCAACCTTCCTTGGCAAGAGCATGGTCTAGACAAGGCAGCCCAGCACCCTGTCCAGCTGAATCCTATAATTGTCCAATGTTGGGGAATCCACCACTTTCTAGGGGAGATTATTCCAGGGGCTGATTGCTCTCACTGTGAAAAATTGTTCTCTGGTATTCAACCAGAATCTCCCCAGGAGCAACTTGTACCCATTGCCCCTCCTCTTTTCCATGTGACTCCATGTAAAAAAGGGAATCTCCATCTTTTCTGTAGCCACCCTTTAAACATTAGAACATGGTGATAAGAGTGGAGTGGAATGCCATTAGGGGAATATTACATCTCCTATCTAAGGTCTGGCTGAAGTTTCTTCTTCGCTTTCTGTTCTACAGACTGTGCACCATGAGCTGTTAAGCTGATGCTGTGTTTCACCTCAGGAGTGGCTACAGCAGGGAACAAAATGTTTATGGAAAAGGGCTATAATACAAAAGGACGACACAGTGGACAAAACTGTCTGAAACTAAAATATTATTTCTAACTGCCCTCTGCTATGTCTTGGATACCAAATGACTTGCAGAACTTTTTTTTTCCAGGAACAGTGATGTTCAAAGTACATGAAAATGTGCTTCCAGACTATAGGAAGTCTTGGTTACAGAGGGCAGAAACTCCGTCTGAAAATAATTTGCTTAGTGGAACTTTGTTCCAGTATAAACCAGAATGAACTATTCAGTTCTCATCATTATCAGTAAAAATTCCTATCAGACCTGTGCAATGCCCAGATAGTAGAGGGCAGAATATGCTTCATTTCCTTTCCCATTGTGTCCTCTTTTTTTCTTAGCCATGCTTCACAGTGTAAAGGATCCAAATTACAACCTTTTTTTCACATTATTATTGCACTCCTCTGAAAAAAAAAACAGCCCAAAACTCTTTCCTGGGCATTTTCATCCTTGGCTTGTGCAACTTCACCAGCTTTTATCTCCCTCCTCTGAGCCACAGCTTTTCCCCCGCTCATCTTTGTAATCTGACATTGTGATTTGTTCACTTGGGTGCTTGTTTTTCTGCCTGAAGAAGATTTGCTGAATCATTGGGGAGGAGGCAGGAGCTGTAGAGGCAGCTGGTGGCCAGCGATAAAACCACGGCCACATCCAGCCCTCAGGGTTTGCACTTGACAGCCCTTCAGTTGAAGGCCTGAGTCACATTCCCTTCCAAGCTAAGATTGCTGGGGACTTTGGGATTGAGGAAATGGGGGTGAGGAGGTGGCACCTCAAAAATATAAATTACTGTTCCTGATAACCACAAGGTTTGTGTTGTATCTTCTGCAAAACTAAGGATGACGCTGTGAGAACTTTCAGGCTGGGGGCTAATTCCTGCTGTCTGTTGGATGTTGTGCCCACTTCAGGGGGAACACAGAGCTAAGAAAATAGGAATTTGTCTTGGGACAGGTAATGGTATGTAGTGACTTATTCCAGACTTGCAGTAACAAGGTATAGTGTGAGCAAAGGTGTGCCAGGGCTCCAAGACACTCACTTGCCTCTTTTTGGAGAGAATGCACCAAATTCCACTGGTACAACTTATGCAGCTGCAACAGGTCTGAATTCTGCCCACTGCCTAACATTTAGGCTGGGGCCTAAAATGCCTTGGTTCATTTTTTAGGTCTTTTACTCTCTCTCTGTATGACCTTGAGTTACATTCTCTCTCTTGGTTTCCTTGCAGTAAAACAGGGATAAGGTGTTTCCATCTTTGCCATTTTGAAATCTTTAGGCAGTATGAGCTTTTGAAATGCAAGGTATCATTAGTCTTGCTGACTCTTGATTAGTTCTTCTGCTCTGTTAGCTCTGCCTTTATTTACAACACTATAAAATGAAGTTTTTTGCATATTTTTATAAGTATCTTCCAGAATTCAAAAATAAAATCTTACCAAGAGCACATGATACTTTTCCTAAGATCAGAGTTTTAACTTGGGTTGTTCTACTTAGTTGTACTTCAAGGAGGTAAGATGGAAAGTTGGTTAACAAACAAGACTGAAAGTCCAGCTGACCTGAGTTCCATTTCTAGTTGTCCCTCTCAAATTTGGGCAAATATTTTAAAGTGAACAATGCAGGCTGGCAGATCCCGATGTCACTTGGATGCTTTATGGGTCTTCTGTGGGATTTGCACAATGCCACTCCAGTGAATTACTGCACATGTGGAGGAATTCTACCTTGCTCTGATCCGTAGATCTCAAAGCATGTCCATGTTTTTATCCTCACTTTGCAAAAGGGGAAGTCTGAGACACAGGGAGGGGACGGTGACTGGCTGAGATCAGTGACAGGTCAAAGCCAGGAACACAACCCTCCTTTGAGTTCTGAGTGTCATATGTAGCTTTCTCCATGATGCCACAATATCAGAAAAGGCAGCTGCAGTTTCTGGACTCTCTTTTTCAGGTGCTGCCACACCTGAATGTCCACTGAGCTTGATTGATTTACAGTCAAGCTATTCCAGGATGGATCTAAATAAGGAGCTGTGGCAGGGATGTCTGACTGACACACTGGTTTACCATGTCCACACTCTCAGGATGGGGCCCTTTCAGGAGCAGGAATGTTCTGTCATTTCTGACTTCCCCTTCCTCAACTGAGACAAGAGATAACTTCTGTTTTATAAAGAGAAACCAGAGGACTTGACCACTGCCAAAAATCCCACCAAAGCTCCTAATATAGAGGAGCCTGGGATGTAAGATAAAGTCCCGTTGCTTTAAAATTATTCAAGAGGCAGAATCAATGGGGAAGGGTTTTAAACCCCTAATTCCTCATGAGGAAGCCTTGAACCTCAGAGTTGTGTTGGCTGGTGCTGAACGTGGCCGTTGTACTTAGGGCTTGCTGAGGAGCCTTTGATGACTTAGAGGTTGCTCATGATCTGGAGAATAGTAGATTATGGGTTGGAACAGAATCAGCTGTGAGAAACTTGGCCTGAGAGTGGTGCAGAAACCACAGGGGTGTGACTCATGTAACTTCAGATGCCTTCGGATACTCAGCTCCCTTTCTCTCCAGGGAGAGAAGTAGGTGCATAGAAGGCAGAACTTTGGTCCTGGTTTAGGTATGTGCTTTAGGAGGAGCTAAATCACTTCCTAGACATGTTACTTACCAAAAAGGGAGCTTTTGAGTCACTAGTTCACATTGGAGATCTCCTGACCTACGGTGCTGCTGTAGATTTCCTGCTTCATATCCCATGGAGAGCCTGGGACAGCACTCAAACCCAGGCAGCCAAGGATGAACACATCCTCCCAGCACAGGCTCAGGGCTTGCACTGGGGCCAGCTTTCAGTAAAATAGGCAGGATCCAAGACACCAGTTTGAACCAGAAGTGAGTGGGATGCAGGATGATGGCTGTCCATATGGTCTGGATGAGCAGTGACCTGATAACAGGTCTGATGGGCTGAAGAAACACGTGTGTTGAAGCTGCTGATGTGACACTGGTTCTATCCTGCAAGGCCCAACCTCATC